CTCACCTTTATCTTTCCCTTCTCACCCCATTTATATTTCCTGCACCCTTTTTTTAGCCCAGACCGCTTTTTCACCCTCCCCACCCCGCTCCCCCGCCCCCACCTTCTGTGAGTATCCGGAAGGGATCTGCACAAATTCTCATGGCTGTCCTGGCTCCTCTTAGCAGTCCACTAAGAGCTTCACAGCTTCTGCTCCATAACACCTCATGTGCTTGGCCTTCCATGACATGTGCAGCTTCTGAAATCAGCTCACAAGGCCACATCCCTTTACCCAAGGAAGAAGCTGAGGTTGCTCTGCCTCCTTAACTCCCCCAGGGCTTCCTGAACATGGCCGTCATTTCTGCTGTCCCTGCTCCCTCCACTGCAAGACACGCATGGGATTCCTGAGCCCCTGAAATGGACGCTCTTTGCTCTGAAGAGCAACTGCCTTTCTGCAGGCAATGAGAGGCAAGCCTCCATCTTGGCATCTGTGGGGTTGGCGTGAGGAGCCTGCCTCCATCCTAAACCTGTTGTTTTCCTCCTAAAGACTGAGGCTGGTGATATTCTTTTCCATCCAAGCGGGCAGGGTGGGGTGGGGAGGAAGAAGCAGGTTCAGACACAAGGGAAGCAAAACCCTGTGGCACTGAGACGAAGAGCCCAGCCCCAGTTCCTTGCTCCTGCCGCCACTGCCCCCAGTCCAGCACCACAGGCCTTGTTCTCTCTGCAGCATGGTTCATGTAGCCATCTTCATCCCCACACTTCCCAAGGCCCAAGGCCGAGGGTCTGTTCCTTGTCGGACATTGAAGCAGAAAAGAAGCTGCAGCATGACTCTCAGCCAGCCAAGGTGGGTCATAAGCAGACATACAGTGCCTAGGAAAACCATTCGGATCCCCCCTCCTCCTCCTCCTCACAACCCTGTACGTGATTCAGACACAGTTGGTAGAGAGAAGCAGCATGTTGCCTCCCTGAACATGTGTCTTTGCGCAAGTAGAGGAAGCCTTTCTTTTCAACCATAGATATTGCTAGTGCTGATGTGGGGGAGGTGGTTAACCCTCCTCCTGGGGCAAAAATATTACTTGGTGATTCAGCCTAGAGAAAAACTTTGGAACTCTGGTCTGCATTTGGCTTCAGGAAAAGGCCCCTGGCCCTTGGACAAAGGGTTGGTGTTTCCTGGCCAAAGTCAGCCAGGAGGCCATCCAGGTGGAGCTGGGCAAGGCCCCTGATGTGTCCTTTCTAAAGATACATGGGGCAGCCACATTCAGAATGCTGTGCACAATTTCTGGTCTTCTCATCTCAAAAAGTATCTTGAAGAAATGAAACAATGCAGAAAAGGATGATCCAAATGATCCCGAGACTGCAGGAAGTCCCCTGTGATGTTTTGGAGTATGTAAGGTGTCTAAACTTATATCTAATGTGGAGAAATCAGATCAAGGAAAGCATTTTCTCTCTCCCTGGAAGAGCAGGCCTCACTGAGGTCATCTAATGAAACTAGAATGTGGTAGGAGATTTGAATCTGACCAGAGGAATGTTTATCATCAAGCATAAAGTTCAGCCATGGGATTGGTTAGTGTACGGTACAGAGCTGGCCAGCTTGGATGAACATAAAAGAGGATTGGATAAATTAACGGAGGTGGAATTCTCTGTGGCCAAGTCCTGAAGGCACTATACTTTCTCACCAGGAGCAGGCACTGCCTAATTCTGAAGACCTATGCTGGTCTATGACCATAACAAAGATTTGATTTGATAATTCTGAAGACCAGTTGCTGGGGAGCAAATGGGGCACAGTTTTCCATGGCTTGTCCCCCTTGCTCACCAAAGGCCCAATCCTACATAACTCTCCTAAGATTTTATGCTATATGGAATAAGCTTCCAGCTCCTTCTGGCATCATCTATCTGTTGATTAATGCATGGTCCTTCTTTCCCCTCTTTCAGGCAACCTTATGAAGAGACGCAGAAAGATCCAGATGACAGCCTGCAGACTGTTGTTCACAAGGATTTCTCCCCTTTAACCCCAACCTGAGTATCTTCTGGGTATGGCTCAGAAGATGATACACCTCAGTGGGTCTGCTGTTTTGGGTACAAGCTTCTGAATTGCACAGAAGTCCTATGCAGATAGGAGGCTTGCTATGCCACCAGTTCTTCCCAGAACTGCATGTGGTTTGGGACACAGGCGGTGCCACTTTCCAGGTTAAATTTTCAGTTGTTGAATGTCTGGATGGATGCTTTGTATGACGCCCAGGCCAGAGACTGAGGACGCCGGTCTGCAGAAGGGCCTGAACTTAAGGCCTGCTGAACGGCCTTGCCTCTGGTCAGAAGAGGACCTGAGGAGGGGGGGGGGGGACTGGCTCCCCTGAATTATCGAAAAGTGTTTGGCAGAGTCCCTCAGCAGCTTCCACAGCAGCTCTGCCCCTAGCCGGGCGCAAGAGTCTTCATACTCTTTCCAGAACAGGGGAGGGGGTCTCCTTGGGCAGTCCTCTTCACTGTAACCCGGCACACGCACACGCCTATTTATTGTCGGATTCCAATTCCCCACCGACGCCCAGTAAAGGGCAACGGGTGGAGATCTCTATCTCTGTAAGAAATCTGAACCGGAGGTCGGAATGAGGCCTCCTGGTCCCGATTTCTCCGGCTGTTCTGGCTGGGCAGGCGGAGGCGAACGACGCGCCGGCGATTCAGTCCGGCCTTGGATCGCGTGCAAAGGAGAGCCAACCTGGCAGGGCAGCGGGGCGCTGGCACCGCTTCTGTACCGCCGCCGATCCCCATTCCCATCCCGCCGCGGCGCCAGTAGCTCCCTCGGGGTCCAGAGGCGCAGTAGAACC